GTTAGAGGCCCTGTGTCTACATAAGGGCTCTATTATACACTAGTAGGCCTTAAGCCTAATATAGGAGGCTAGTAGTAGAAATAGTGAATTCAAATAGGCCTGCACTGAGGTAATAGAACACCAGGGAATTACTATTAGGGGGCCCACTATGACACTCAAAGTAGGGAGCCTCTTGGCAATTCTAAATACCTAGGCCCTTCACCCCTAAGCCAGAGGCCCAGCTTTTTCCCACACATGATCGAGCCGAAAGTTGTTCATCTAGGCCTAAACTAGCCTAGGTAATATGCCGAGGGCCTTGGTCTAGGCCTAGGTTGACTGAACTTTAATGTTTTTAAAGCATTAGAGTTAATATAAGTCTAAAATTTAGAGAAAGGCATGATATACATACCTGTATACGTACTATTTTGAATCCAAAAAACCCTGTAAATGCGTGTGTTTGCAGTCATAATTCTGATGAATTCCAAAATGGCGTATTTAGAAATTGGTTTAAAAATCTACGCTGGTTCCCGTCGTTTGAGGCTGTTCCAGTATAGTAATTAAACTGTTGTAATCTGGTTGTATATACAATACTAGATGTGTATAAGAGATTGTATATACAATATACAGGACGGCATAAGCCAGATTAGGATTATATAACCCTCGCATATTGCATTTTACAAGGACAGTCACCAGTCCTACATATATGAATATGATGACAGTAGAATAATGGAGTGGATAATGATAAAATAATAGATTTCCGAGCGCTACTATACTGTAGTTAAGAGTAATATACTGTATTTAAGAGTAGGTTAAGCCTAGCTTAAGATAGTTAGAGACGTCCTGGGTACGACATTAAACTCCATCCGGTCGAAGTGTCGGCGACTAAACTGACAACCCTCTCAAATATGTCTTAGTGGCTGCTGAGGGGAGGGTGTTTATGGTCACCCAGCAGCAAGAAAAACCAATAGCTGAACAAAGGGCGGATGAGCTCCTCGGAGTCAACGGCCAACCATTACCTGTCTCTTATACACATCTAGATGTAGTCTCATTGTTATTGTTATTATGATTATTTTTATTTTATTTTATTGTTATTATTTTATTGTTATTTGCTTTTTCTCAGTTGGCCTATATTATTTCTCTGTAAAGCGCATAGGGGCAATGTGCAATAAGCGCTATATAAATATAACATTATTATTATTATACCGATTTAATTCTAATTTTCACGCACTGACAATATTATTATACTAGAAATTGCAAATTGCAAGTGAAGTGCTGCGAAGTACAACTGCATATAAATGTTCTTCGAACAAAATTATATTTGAGATTGAGATTGATACAACCCGGATTATTTTTTTTTAATTCCTCTTTGTAGCAAGAGGTCATGACATTAATGGTGATTTCCATTTAAAATGGTTTTGTTAATATTATGTATGTATTGCAAAGATAATGTAATCGTAATGCAACACCAAACCATATGAACTCATAATCATTAACTTACTTATTTTTAAACCTATATAATAAGAGAAACATGTTATTATAAATAAGCCAATTCGTAGTGTGATCTGCGCATGCCCGTATCAAATCGACATAAACAACATGCACACAACATAGGTTTATGTCAATTGACCTTGGATATGGACATGCGCAGTTTGCTTATTACAATACGAATTGGATTATTACAATCGCAAAACTTACTTGTTGAATGTTAATCATCAGCTGTAGGGCGTTTCCTGCTCCCGACTGCCCGACTTTTAATACATCATGATATTTGCCAGAATTGAACGTAAAGCAGTTGCCAAATGACGTAAATAAATGGGTAAAATTCTGCAAATTCTGCAATGTCAAAAATGTGGTATTTATGCACAGCCAATGGTGTAGGATGGAATCAAAATGATTCGATCCATAAAAGAGTTTCCGCTTTTAAAAATTGAAATGTTGGGGGAGTTGATGGGAAGGCGGGAATATAAAATGAGAGAGTTCGATGATTAAGAGAGGGGCGCTAACTAGAAGTGATTCCAAATATTCTGGACAAAGGTGACTGGGGTGAGTTTTTAAGGGAAGGGGAATGCGATCACATCTATATACGCCACTCTTAGTTGCAGTGACACGAAAGTGCGACAAGTATTATAAAGTGCGACATTATTGAAAATTGCGACAGTACAATGTACTATAATAAGCAATAAGTAGAGCTGGTCATAGTACACTAAAGGAAAATTATTAAACGAAGGTTAGGTTTAATGCTTGAAAAATTGTTGGAATGCATTAAATCTAACCTTTTCCGATAGTGTACGATACATGCAGCTTTACTAATTTCTCCGTCTTTTAATGTTGGCAGTCTGAAATGATCGTCATTAAAATCGATCCTTTGCGTGCCCGTCGTCGCGTTGCGCTTTTAATGGAACCGCGTCGGCCGGCGACGGTCGAGCACACTAAGTGCCCGGCTATAATACACATAGGCCTAATAATACACATCAGCAGTATAGTATAGATACGATGAATAACTATTGTTCGAAGACCTTGTTTGTAATACTATTTTTATAGACATTCGTCAAACAAATAAACATTTTGTAAAGCATTAAGTAATACAGTAATCACTTTTTGGTCGGTGTAGATAGGTAAAATCGTGCGATGATTTCAAAATCAGGCTAGGCTGCGGCCTAAATCAACTGCTATATTGGCTTCAAATATTCAACAAATAAAGAAGTGGAGTTGTATATTATGCTTCGAACATTTTCAAATAGAGATATTTCTATTTTCTTTTTATTTTATTTTTATTCATTTTTCTGAATATAATTTTCTGGAATGATCTTAACTTGAGAGTTACTGACATTGAAAAACAAAATTATGAAATAATGAGATCACAAATTAAGTTAAAATATTATCTTTTATTTAAGCATAAAATCACTTTAGACCATCATCTCTTGAATATTCATAATTTTAAATATAAATTAAATTTAACTAATTTACGTTTTGGGCATTTTAGAACTAGAACTAGAAACCGGGCGATGGAACAAGAATACTCAAAAAGATCGTATATGCAAACTATGTAGCAAACTATGTAACAAAAAATGTAGTGGAGGCTGAGTTCGATATTCTTTTTATCAGTCCATTAAATTCCAATCTAAGAAAGAAGTTTAGTACACAATTATATTTCACTTATCCTTCTATCGATTATGCTTACTCATGTCTAATATTAAGTTAACAAACCAATTATCAAAATATGTATACTTGGAGTTCAAAGAAAGACAGACCTATTTGCAGCACTAATTATAATTACTGTTTTTACATTTGCATAAAGGCCAGAGGCCTGTACTTTAATAAAGTATCCTTCTAGGAGAAAGAAAGGAATTTAGAACTCTATTTAAAACTAAGATATCTCTAAAGATATGAATCACTGTAAGATATCTTAATAATAGAGATATTTATTACCGGTATTAGAAATTTAAATAAATAGAGATATCTCTATTTCCAATGGAGATACCTTGTTTTAAGTAGAGATAATATCTCTATTAATAGACATATTATGTCTGTTAATAGAGATATCTATATAGACCAGGAGCCCCGGGGTGTCAGCATAGCTGGAAAGTTAACCAATTTCTGTGTATATAGTAATGTCCTATGTGCCTGTCTATGTAGGAGAATGGGCATCTGCCGGTCCCACTGTGGTGGGTGTGGTCGGGAGGGGCATAAAAAGGGCCCCAAAAATTGAGCTAGATCAACTTGTGAATTAACCCAATGAAACCTATCAGAATATATTCGGCATAGTTCAAGATAACATGAATGGTCAATGCCAGACATTTCCAGTGGTAGGGGGTGCGTACCAGACGCAAAAAACCGGTACCCCAAAATTAAGCTAGATCAGCTTGTGAGTTAACCCGATGAAACTTACTGGAAAATGCTGGGCATAGTACCAGGTATCAGGAATGGTCACCGCCAGACATTTTTAATGGTGAGGTATACCTGCCAGACACCCCCAAATACCCTGCCCAAAAAATTGACCTAG